AACACTACGGTAATTTGTAGCTAAGAGAAATGTCAAGCGTATGAGTATAAATTTGAGAATAAAATTAAACTTTCCGAATGAAACATATGTAGTAGAATGACCCGGCCAAGTTTAGTTTGCATATCAAGTGCACCGCTAGATCCTCCTAGCTTGGAATGTCATCAACATGTAACATAGACGAGCATCTACTTTGGTACTGCGCAGTGTATATGTCACTGACATCATACACATGTGGCCAAAACAACTTGGAACGAATTTTCTTTGAGTAGCCCACCAGTTCATGTTTTAACAGAAGTGGCCCTAACCCAGATTACAATGGTAAGAATAGAGGTTGAGCTGAGGAGATAAATAGATAAGTGGATTATTAGTTGAATAGATTAATGGGTCAATCAACGATATCTAATAGATCAAACATGAACAATTCAGAAAATTAATGAAATGGACGAAATAAGAATGAGAAAAATCTTAGCAGTGAATTATATGATTAGTAATTATTTCCAGCTGGCTGCATTGTTTCTGTGAAGTGCTTTTCTGGAAACAGCCTGCCTTTAAAAATTACTATAAGATTATTTAACTTCTTGAATGAAGGCATTTCATATTAGAGAGGTAATTTATATATTTCATTCTTTCAATCATCATGCTATGTATCTACTCCGAATATTCTATTAATGATCTATTGTTACTCTAAAAAATTTGAACACTATGTATTCCTCGAAATAATATCCAAGAATCGGGAAATTAAAAAAATTACTGCTAAGTAAAAAAGTTACTTGGTAATTCCAAAATAAAATTGAAAAAAAACATAAACAATGAACGATATTAAAGAATCTATACGAAATGCCATCCATACATTATATCTCCGCTTCTTAAATATAAATATATGCCATTTGTATTTATAACTTCTCAATACACGTGTGAACAATATAGTACGCAAATTTTTTTGCAATTGCATAAACTCAATGGCTATATGGATGTTGTGTATAGCTATCGTATATAGAACCCGTGGCATTGATCTATTTATCTGACTAACAGAAAACTTATCTTGTGATTCACTAAAATGTATTCCAGTTGTAGTATTTATGTATTAATTTTCATTATTTTATATCCAGTTATTATTATTAGTGACTAATGATTTCTTATTTCGATAAAGGGATGAAAAAATATTTGAATACAACTCTTGATATATTTTTATAACAAAATATATTTTTGCATAGACAAGAAGACAACCGTGAAAGGTAATCTCAGACTCGGTAGCCACACTCGCACCGCGTGCTTATGGTTCTACGTACATGCATACCCGTACAATCTCATGTTCGCCTGTTACGCTATACGCCAAGGCAATAAAAGAAATAAGAAAATTTGAATTATCGTGCATTCAATTGTCATGAATTGTCGTGATTGTCATCTGAAACGCCTATACATTAGTTTAATAATTAATTTGCGTTCGCTCGTTTGTAATGATAATGGAACTTCTTCGAATTTCTGAAAATTATAGATATCTACTATGAGTCTCATAAACTGTTGATTTCTTAATAGAAATTGTAGAAAAAAGATTTAGTGCAGAAGAGATAAATGTTACTGCGACTATACAACAGAATTATCCACAAATTAATCACAAAATAAATGAAGCCCGCTTCAATTTTTTAATATTTTTTCTACTAATTTTCCCCAGTGGTAACTCAGAGTACAGAGAAGGATTATTTAATCACCTTCCCTATTGAAATATAGTGATCTAAATATAGATCTATCAATGATGTATTGAAAAAATTAATTGAAATACGTAAATCATTAATGAACTCACTCTCTCTCTCTCTCTCTCTCTCTCTCACTCTCTCTCTCTCTTTCACTCTCTCTCTCTCTCTCCCTATCTGTTTAAGTCAATAATTGCACTAAAATCCATTCACATCCTTTGAACAAAATATATTAATTTTTACTTACAACAACGATCATTTTCCTTAACAATTAAGATGAATTGAAGTGAACTATATTACAAAATTATGTGCG